TTCTACTATCTCTGATACAATTTTAACCCCACTGCGAAGCCTCTTCTAAGGATGCCTACCCTTAAGAAGTTACCCTCCTCCCTCCGGAAAAACCTCAGTGGATCTCTCTCCTACTGCAACTCTCTCGTAATCTCTTCGGCCTTGAAACTGCTCAACCAAGTCCTGAAGCAAACCAGGTACTACAGCCACATCACCTTTCTTAGTACCTGCCTACGGAACCAGATCATCCCCAATGGACTACAGTCCACATTCAGGCCTTAAGGGTCTAGGCCCGAAATGTCAGCCTTCCTGCTCCTCTGATGCTGCTTGGCCTGCTGTGTTCATCCAGCTCCAAACCTTGTTATCTCAGATTTCCAGATTTTATGGTTTGTTATATTTGTGCAAGGAAAACTGGACCGTCCTGTTATGAAACAGCAACAGAGCTCTGAAAGTGCAGCCATGATTTTCATTACATTATTTGGACCGAAACACTGTTTATTTCAATTAAATCTAGTCCTGTACTAGGGTTTCATTATTATAAACTATTTATGTATATTCCATATGTTTTGTAATTTTTGCAAAGTATTCCTACAAATCCTTAACATAAACTTGATAAAAAAAATTCTTAATATTAAAAAAAACTCATTTGCCTGATAGTCTCAATGTGCTTGTCCAGTTAATTAACTAAATACATAAATATCACATCAAGGGAACGATCATCAGGCGTAATAACAATCTAGTTTTACACTAAATCAGCGTCAACATTTCCTGATAACTAGTGCCCTCTAAAGAGCAGAATAGGTTGCAGCAGAACATAACTTCATCTATTGACATCAAGAAAATTTCTCACCTTAAACAGGTAGAATTTGTGATCATCATGTTGACCAAGCTTTTCCTGAAGTCTCTGCACCAGCTGTTTCACTTGCTCTGTCCGAGATGCAGTTATGAGTGGTTCAATCTTCTGGATTTCCTCAACCACAGCATCTACATCTGCACTAGATTAATCATTATATGAAAGAAAAATACGTTTTAATGCCAACACATCTCAACACCAGAAAACTTTGAGTAGCATCGACAAGAATACAAAAAATTAAAAGTTCCTTCAGACGACATTGCAGAAATAAGAAATTCGGCCTACATAGTATAAATTTTGACTTTCTCAAGATCTTAGCCATGAGTAATTAAATATGTCTGCACACTTTAGCAATAAAGTCATATAGTCATACAGCTGTACAACATGGAAACAGACCCTTTGGTCCAATTCATCCATGTCAATCAGATATCCTACATAAATCTAGTTCCATTTGCCAGCATGTGGCCCATATCCCTCTAAAACCTTCCTATTCATATACCCTTCCAGATGCCTTTTAAATGTTGTAGTTGTACGTGCCTCCACCACTTCCTCTGGCAGCTCATTCCATATACACATCACCCTACGTGAAAAAGTTGCCCCTTAGGTCCCTTTTAAATCTTTCCCTTCTCACCTTAAACCTATGCCCTAGTTTTGGACTCCCCCACCTTGGGGAAAAGACAAATCCATAGCATCCCTACAGTGTGGAAACAGGCTATCTGACCCAACAAATCCACACAACTCTCTGAAGAGCATCGAATCCAGACTCACCCCCTGTAACCCTGCATTTGCCATGGATAATCCACCTAACCTACACGTACCTGGACAGTATGTGCAATTTAGCATGGCCAATCCACCTAAACCGCACATCTTTGGACGGTGGAAGGAAACTGGAGCACTTGGAAGAAACCCACGCAGACACAGGAAGAATGTGCAAACTCCACACAGACAGTCACCCGAGGCTGGGATTGAACTCGGTTCCCTGGCACTGCAAGGCAGTAGTGCTAACCACTGAGCCATCATGCCACCCACACCTTGTCTTTTCACCCTAACCATGCCCCTCATAATTTTATAAACCTCTATAAGGTCACCCCTCAGCCTCCGACACCCGAAAGAAAATAGCCCCAGCCTATTCAGCCCCTCCCTACAGCTCAAACTCTCCAACCCTGGCAACATCCTTGTCCATCCTTTCTGAACCATTTCCAGTTTCTCAACATCCTTCCTATAACAGGGAGACCAGAATTGCACACAGTTTTCCAAAAGTGGCCTAACCAATATCTTATTCAGCTGCAACATGACCTCCCAACTCCTGCACTCAATCCACTGACCAATAAAGGCAAGCATATCAAACGCCTTCTTCACTGTCCTATCTATCTGCAACTCCACTTTCAAAGAACTATGACCCTGCACTCCAAGGTCTCTTTGTTCAACAACACTCGCCAGGACCTTACCATTAAGTGTATAAGCATGTTTTACTTTATTTAAATATATTAATTTCTACACAAATTATTTCAGAAAAGGAACATCCACAATAATTTCATCTAAATTGTACTAGTTTTTGAAACTGTTAAGTTTAAAATTCTTGCCTGCCTCTCTTTAGGCATGAACAGCAGTACTGCCAGAACTTCAGGAAGCAGGAACCTACTAACTTGAGCGCCTCAATGAAGAAGATTAGAAGATCACAAGAAATGGGAGGAACAGTAGGCCTTTCTGACCAATCGGTACAGCATTCAATTAGATGATTTCATTGTGACCTCAACACCATTTGTCTGCTTACTCCTCATAACCCTTGACTTGTTTCTCGATGAAAAATTTATTTAATTCAACCAAGAATTTAATTTAGGACTCAAGCTCTACTATTCTCCGTGGAAGTAAATTTAAAAAAATAATGTCCTCCAATAGACAAAATACTTCTTATCTATATCTTAATTGGGAGAAGCCTTATTTTTAAACCATTACCACCGGTTCTAAATTCCTACACAAGACAAAGCATAATTTCAGCATCTACCCTATCAAAGTTTTCAGAATTTTATGCTTCAACAAGATCACCTCTCATTATTCTAAATTCTAATGAGTATAGGCAGAAACTGCTCAACCTTTCGTCATAGGACAACATCATTGCAGAAATCAGCCTAGTGAACATTCGCTATTCAGTAGGAAACTCACACAGCATAGTGAGGCCTGCAATTAACAACACAAGGTACACTCTGGTGATTCTGAACATGACTGAAGAACAATATCTCAAAAGACTTGAAGGTGCTGACAATAGTAGCCTCCAGAAAGAAGACTTCCTGCCAAGTCAACAGGGTGGACATACCCTGCTAGCAATGTTAAAGACCACCACAACACTGAATTTCTTTGTTTCTTGCTCTTTCCAGGGAACTGCTGTAACATCAGAGAATAGAATTGTTCTGCCGACTTTTACAGTTGATAGCGTAATGTCCAGGGATGTCTTCTGTCTAAAAACCTGTAGAATGCTTTCATTATGCTGTTCTGTGAATTTCAGTGAAACAGAACATTGAGGTCAGAAAAAGAGAGTAAAGGATAATTAAGATGGCAAATGACTGGATGCTCAAGTGCTTGATCCAATTCTGTTCAGGTTCCTTTGCACTCGTATCAAGTAGTACATTAAACACGGCTGGTCTCTGTTCCGGAAAATTTCATAGACTTTGCTTCAAAGTTTTATCTATCGCTCACCTTCTTACTGTCCAGGTCTGACTCTTCCCCTTCTCTTCTTTAACTGCTCGGTCTCCACTTCTGCAGATAAGCTATCTACTAGTATCTACTACTAGATTCTTGTAGATACAGCACTGAGTCCAACCGTTACATTAATTACACTTCCACCCATTGCAAATCTTATAAGGACTTTATTCCATTATTCCAATTTCTTCATTGCATCTGTTCTGATGGTTTCACCTCCTACACAAGTCCACCTGATAGTTCCTTTACACAACTGGGAATTACCCTAATCCACGATCAACACAGCCTTCAATCAAATTCTTTCCAATTCCCACACTTCGAACTGTGTTGAAACCAATATAACTTAATATCACGCAGGCTATATGGCAGGTGATGGGTGTGATACCATACATCCTGAACTTCTGCCCACCCCATTAACTTTATTTCTCTCTACACAATGCTGCTTGGCCTGCAGAGTATTTCCAGCATTTTTTGTTTATATAGCTGTATGGCAAAAGACATTGGTTAGGTCTCATTTGGCACAAAGGAAGATGGTTTTGGCTGTTGGAGTTCAATCATCTAAGTGCAAGACCATCACTACAAAGTTTTTCAGAATCCTAAATCCAACCATCTTCAGCTGCATCATTAATGAACTTCATTAGGACTGAAGTGGGGATGTTCACCGATGATTGCAAAATGCTCAGTATCCATTCACGACTTTTCCAATGCTGCAACATTCCATATCAATGTGCAGCAATATATGGACAAATTCACATGACATGTAACATTCACAGCAGACAAGTGGCAGGTAATGACCATCTCAACAAAACAGAATATAACCATGTCCCCTTGACACTCAACAGCATTTGCATCACTAAATTCCTCACAATCTACATCCTGGAGATTACCATTAACCAGAAACTTAACTGGACCAGCCATACAAATACAGAGCTATTATAAACTAATCAGTGGCTGGAATCCAGCAGCAAGTAACATGCCTCCTAATTCTCCAAACCTGTCAACAATTTACAATGCACAAATCAGAAGAATGATGGAATGTTTCTACTTACCTGGATGAAAATTGTTTCAATAAAGCTAAGCAAGCTTCACACCATCCAGGTTAAAGCAGCTTGGTTAATATAAAACATATCCATCACATTAAATATTCAACCCTTCCACAACTAACGCATGGTTACAAGCAGGGCATACTATTAGAAGATGCTAGTCTCCTCTGACAGCGCTATCCAAACGTGGGACCTCTAAAGCCTAGCAGAAGAAGATCAGTAGATTCCAGGGAACATATTTTGATTAGGAACTATCTCACCTCAGTGTCTCTGGGTTCACATCTTGGAACTTACTGCCTAACACTGCAATAGGTGTACCTGCATCACCTGGACTGCTGCAGGTCAACAGGGTGACTCAAGACCTTCTCAAGGACAATTAGGGATCACCAAATGCTTAACTTGTTCATAGAATCTCTACAGTGTGGAAGTAGGCATTTAGCCCATCACGTCCACACTGGCCCTCTGAAGGGCATCTGACCCAGACCCACTCCATCCCTGTAACTCTGCCTTTCCCATGGCTAATCCACCTAGTCTGCACATCCCTGGACATTATGGGCAATTTATGCATGGCCAATCAACCTAGCCTGCACACCTTTGGACTGTGGGAGGAAACCACAGCATCCAGAGGAAGCTCAGGCAGACACAGGGAGAATGTGCAAACTCCACACAGTAACCCAAGGTGGAATCAAACCCAGGTCCCTGGCACTGTGAGGCGACAGTGTTAACCACCGAGCCACCATGCTACGTATGACACTTGCATCCCATGAATAAATTGAAAAAAAGCAATATTAATTTTGCTTATAAAATATGGCATCAATAAAGAGAAGGATTACTAGATTCATACCTTTATATTACACAATCCTTAATTACCAGGATAGATTTATGCAGTTCTATGTTTTTTTTCAAAAACCCTTTGACTTTGAAGAAATTTGATTGTAGTCTTTAAAATGATACTGTGTCCATGTGGACTGCCTTTTTGATAAGTTAATAAGGGAAAACCAGGGAATATGTGCATGTTACACAAGCATGGATCAAGGTTAGATATTAGGAAATTTTACCTTTCACAGAGTTCATTGGCCTTTGAAAAAGTTGCAAGCTTGTGCAGCATTAATTTTCTGTAAGCAATCAAAAGGGAACTGAAACAAGCAAACATTTAAAAATGGATAACAAATGTTTAAACCATACGTTATAAACTTCAAAACAGGTAAGTGTGAATGGGCATATTTTGGTGGAAAGACTGAGTAGGCCACACACCCATCAGCACAAATCATAGCTCTGTTGTGTTGTTGTTTCTGGCGCTACATGCAACATTTTGCCTCAAAATGGTGACCATTGAGAATCCATCAGGTGCTAGGTGCACTGTTTGCCATTCCGGTGAAGTCATTAATATTTACACAGGCAGCATCCATTTGAGAAGCAGGAAGATGGTGAAGTCAATAAGCTAGTTACACTGATCCACCAGTACAATCACTGTGGATCCTGCTGATGTCCTCACTTAACCTCGTGTACATTGACATCATTCAGCACGTGGAAGGAATCCGTGACCATTGCTCCTGAAAGGAATCATCAACTGTTTGTTGCTTGGTTGTTGATTGATTTCTACCTGCTCTTGCTGAATTGTAGTAATATATGGTGGTTTTCAAAGTTGTTTGGAATTGTTAAATTCTATAGGGAATGATCTTATATGTGTTGAAGGACTTTATCCTGATTTCAAAGATTTTGCACAAACAGACATAGATGCTGTAGTTTATATCCACCCCAAGTGACAACACTAGGGAGAATAAGCAGGGGCAACACAGATCAAGATAAAGTACTGGAAGAGGGACGGGAGGGTGCACTGCAAGTGGCCATATCCAGGCAAAGTGCTCAGGCAGCATTTCTACTACCTAATTCTCAGCAAGAAAATGTGGTCAGAATCTTTTTGAAGCACCAGGAGCCTTGCTTTCTGGTCAGAAAGGTGGCAGGAGACTTACACTGCTTCTATTTGTGAAGGGCAACTGAATCATAAGTCAATCAGAGAGGTATGAGGAGGTGTGGGGCTAAGGCTTGATATTCACAATATTCATGATATTCACCTGCATACTAGGATTGTTTCTGCAGTCCCAGGACACAAGTGAGGGAGGGAACCACTGGTGTAGGTGTCGCAGAGGTGGGGGTCACATCAAGTACTTGACATCAATGTAAAAATAAAAACCACCATACAACATCTTAATCAAATGTTTAATAAAAGATGACTGTATCTCCTATAAATGTCAAAAAATCACTCTTGTGGTTTCCCTTAGTGCCTGTCTTTCATGTGCCTCTGCCTGTATTGCTACTCAAATACAGGTCTACATTGTGTCTGCAGCATGGATGAGATTGCAGATGGATGTAGAATGGCCTAAAGCAGTTCTGGACCAAAAAGGCCCAGTTTCTGATCGCACCATTTCAGCATGAGCAGCAAAAACCTGGGTTGGTTGGCTGATAAGCAATGACAATGACATTGATGAATGGCAGAGGTGGATGGAGGAATGTTGTCATCCTAAGACAGGACAACAGAATGTGCTCCATGGCATCAAATCAGCAATCCTAATAATCTGCTGCACAACAGATTATTGGACCATTGTGATATTCTGTAAGACTGTAGTAGTGTGAAAGCAACTCCTGGCACGTGGTTCACATGTGAAAAACACACACATGTGACAATTTTTCTTCTTCATCCCTGTCTTCCTGCTCTTCTGGTTCTTCCTCCTCCACCACTGCCCAGCCAGGTTTCAATTTTTCAGTCTCGGAAAAGTGAATTGGACAAGAGCAGACTTATGGTGAAGAAAAAGAAATATAACAAAAATGCATGTTTATATACCCGCAACTTACAAATCAAAAGAAATTTTCAAATGAGTGGAAATGGAATGTGAGAAGGAGAATTAGGAATCAGGATCTCAATATTTTTGATTGTTTCAGAGCCTGCGACAATCATAACAATTTTGCAATTGTTGTCTCCTGCATCAGAGTTAGAACGTGCAACTGTGCCCAAACCCCAACAAGTGATTGTTGCTGTGTCGGGGTAAAAGCCCCATGTTGCCCTGCAAGAGACAGAGATATATGTCAGTAAATGTGGTGCAATGTGTTTTCATAACTAAATACTGGCAATGTGAGCAAGATATGAGATGCTGCTTGAAGTTTGCAACAGTGTGAAATATAAAAAGTTGATTAGAGGTATGTGAAAGTATTATGAGGTTGAAATTGATTAAGTTGCTGAAGGGTGTGTAATGGCAGTATAGAACACCGAGTAGTGTTTTCAGCGACATACAAACATATTAACAAGGAGCCAGCCATTCAGTCCTTCAAGTCTGCTCCATCATTCAATAAGACCATGACTGATCTGATCGTAACTTCAAACACACATTCCTGCCTATCCAGATAACTTTATGTCTAGTCTCTGCTTCTTTGTTAGCCAGGCAATCTTTTATCCTTGCCAATTATCTACCCCATACACCATGAGCTTTTGCAATAACCTTTGATTTGGCACTCTATCAAATCTAAGTACAGTATATCCCTGGCTCGCCTTTATCCACTGCTCATATTACATCCTTAAAGAATTTCAATAGATTGGTTAAACATGAATTCCTTTTCACAAAACCAGATTGACTCTATCTGATTTGCTTGAATTTATCTAAGTGTCCTGCAATAACTTATTTAATTATAGCTTCTAACATTTTCCCTATGACAGACGTTAAGCTAACTGATCTATAGTTTTCTGCTTCATCTTTCCCTCTTTTTTTGAATAGAAGCATTACAGTTGCTGTCTTCCAATTTAGGGTGACCTACCTAAAACCAGTGGAATTTTGGAAAAAAAGAAACATTGTATCCTCTATCTCATTGGTCACTTCTGTTAAAACGTTAGGTGAAGTCTGTTAGGACCCAGTGCAGGGTAATGGCACAACTGCTAATAATTTGCATTTGAATGACCATGATCATTCATGTGATTACTTGCAGCACAGCATCCAGGGCTAGAACTTTGACACTGAGGCTAAAGCTATCTACTCATATTGCCTTCTGAGTTTGCCTGCACGGTCTCCTGCAGAAAGAGGGCATCTCTCATGTCCACTTTCTCATCAAGGTGTCCATTGCAGTATTAGAAAAACATGGAGCATGTTCTGTACCCTGCTGCAATGTTGCTCTTGCTCAATTCACGTCTGCAACCAATTTCAGCATCTGTTTCCAGTAGAATGCTCTTCCAAACACCATCCTCTTTTCCACTTTAAGAGGTACATGTTGGCTTTAAGTACTGTACAGGAGCTTTAAATATTGCTAGAGGAGTGAAAACTTGGGACTCTGCTAAGGAGCGCAGCCACTCAGCAGCACATGAAGCATTGGCTGCATGCAGATATTGAGCAAAGTAGAGACAGTGTCTCAAATCTACTTATTTGCATTATTAACAAGGGACCCAGGTTAACTGCACATGGCAAATTTTCACCAGATGAACGATCCTCAACCTGAAAAGTCAAGAGTGTTTTTCTCTCCCTAGATGCTGCCTAATGTGCAGAGTATTTCCAGCACTTTGCTTTCTTTATTTTTAAAAGAAAATCATAGAATCCCTGCAGTGTGGAAAGAGGCCATTCAGCCCATCAAGTCTGCACCGACCCTCTGAACAGCATCCCACCCAGACCCAGCCTATCCCTGTAACCCTGCTTTTCCCATAGCTAAACCACCTAGCCTGCACATCCCTGGGCACTACGGGACAATTTAGCACAGCCAATCCACCTAACCAGACATCTTTGGACTGTGGGAGGAAACAGTGGCACCTAGAGGAAGCCCACGCAGACATGGGAGAAAGTGCAAACTCCACACTCATAGTCACCCAAGGTTGGAATCGAACCCAAGTTACTGGTGCTGTGAGGCAGCAGTGTTAACCACTGAGCCATCATGCTGCTCTACAGTGATGGAAGGAGGCCATTCAGCCCACTGAATCTGCACCAACCCTCTAAACAGCATCTCCCTGTGCATTCCAGATCTTAACCACTCGCTGGTTTAAAAGAAATTCTTATATTGTGTATTCTGAAGAAGGGTCTCAACCCGAAACATCAGCTTTCCTGCTCCTCTGATGCTGCTTGGCCTGCTGTGTTCATCCAGCTCTACACCGTGTTATCTCAGATTCTCCAGCATCGGCAGTTCCTACTATCTCTTATATTGTGTATGGTCATTTTGCCAATGATGACATGTATAGTTGAAAAAGAGCAAGGGGACTTTTGGGCAGGACCCTGTAAAAACTGAAAGTTATTTGCATTTTAATGCTACTCAGACATCACACTTACACTGGAGTCAAGTCAAGCAGATCAATGGATTTGTTCTTTGTCTCCCCTCCTTTTTCGTACTCCAAAATGATTCCTGGCAAAGATACAAAAATATAAATATTCATGACTATTCGTGAAAGGTAAAGGAATTTTGATGATTTCAGCATCCCTGCAGCTACATTCTCCAAATGTGAGCCGACTTGAGAGCTGAGCTGCACAGGGCACTGAGGAGTTTTGAAGGAACCTACAGTTTAACTTCACAGAACAAAGCAAAAACAGAAGTGACCCAGTAAAGAAGTTCACAGTAGGTAGGCTGTCAGGCCCAATGTTTGATGTCTCCGGTTTGAAGGCGGCTGGAGACGCGGCCGCGGTGGTGCCAACCACAGGTTCCCCAGTTTGGTGGGTGTCAGAGCGGCTGCCCGGCCCAGCATCTCACCGGCACGACCCCGGGGAGTTAGCGGCCCGGTCCCGGTCCCGGCCCCTGGTTGCCCTCCCGGTCTCACCTGGCGGGTAATACCGCAGCAGAAACCGTTTGAGCCTCATGTTTCACTGAGACCGCGTCCTTCTCCTGTTGCCCAGCAACCAACCAGTCATCCTAACTGCGCACTCGCACACGGTGGTCGCCGATTGGCGGCCAGCACGCGTGCGTACATTCCGTGAACGCCACCTGCGCTGCCATCTTGGCAAAGGAGAATTTTGTGCTCTATTCACTAGTTCAACTTCATATATTCATAGAAAAATAATGAAAGAGACTGTTCGGCCCATCGATAGCACCGACCCTCCGAAGAGCATTTCCCAAACTATACATTTTAGCTCCTAACCACTGGCTGGTTTAGAAAAAACATTTCTTGTATTGTGTATAGTCATTTTGCCAAATAAATTAGTGATCGCTGGTTCTGTAACCCTCCCTCATGGGTGGACAAACAGGAGGCTGGAAGAACACAACAAGCCAGGCAGCATATGGAAGATAGGAGAAGTCAATGTTTCCGGTATTACTCTTCTTCAGGGGTGGCAGTGTGGTGTGAGAAAGGGATGCACTGAGTTCGCATCTGCGCGAGGCAGAGACCTTCTTCAAAATGAGATAACAAGGTGTAGAGCTGGATGAACACAGCGGGCCAAGCAGCATCAGAGGAGCAGGAAAGCTGACGTTTCGGGTCTAGACCCTTCTTCAGAAATGGGGGGAGGGGAAGGGGATTCTGAAATAAATAGGGAGAGATGGGGAGGCGGATAGAAGATGGATAAAGGAGCAGATAGGTGGAGAGGAGACAGACAGGTCAAACAGGTGGGGTTGGAGCCAGTAAAGGTGAGTGTAGGTGGGGAGTTAGGGAGGGGATAAGTCGGTCCAGGGAGGACGGACAGGTCAAGGAAGGTGGATGAGGCTAGTAGGTAGGAGATAGGGGTGGGGCTTGAGGTGGGTGGAGTGGATAGGTGGGAGGAAGGATGGACAGGTTAGGGAGGCGGGGTCAAGCTGGGCTGGTTTTGGGATACGCTTGGGGGAGGGGAGATTTTGAAGCTTGTGAAGTCCACATTGATACCATTGGGCTGCAGGGTTCCCAAGCGGAATATGAGGTGCTGTTCCTGCAACCTTCAGGTGGCATCGTTGTGGCACTGCAGGAGGCCCAGGATGGACATGTCGTCCAAGGAGTGAGAGGGGGAGTTGAAATGTTTCACGACTGGGAGGTGCAGTTGTTTGTTGCGAACCAAGCGTAGGTGTTCCACAAAGTGGCCCCCAAGCCTCCGCTTGGTTTCCCCGATGTGGAGGAGGCCACAATGTGAACAGCGGATAATGAGCATCCTTTGAAGAGACTTAGTAGTGGTATGAACTTGGTTAGACACAAGAAAACTGCAGTTGCTGGAATACAAGGTAGACAAACAGGAGGCTGGAAAGACGCAGCAAGACAGATATCATCTGGATGAAAGGAGAAGTCAACATCCTGAAGAAGGGTAATACCTGAAATGTTGACTACTCCTTTCCACCAGATGCTGCCTGGCTTGCTGTGTTCTCCCAGCTTCCTGTTTGTCTACCTTGGGTTCTAGCATCTCCAGAATTTTTTTGCCTCCCTTTTGGGGACAGTTTCATAGTTCTCCATCTGGAGTATTCATGATTTTGAGTATTTCAATGAAATCTCCTCTGAAACTTTGTTCCTCTTAGAAGAACAACCACTGTTTCTTTAATATGTTCTCATTTCTGAATAATTTAATCTCTGAAACTGTTGCTATAAATGTTTTCAGCATTCCAATGCTTTCACCTCCTTCGTCAAGTGCAGTTTCCAGAATTGGACCCTGTGAAACTTGAAAGGGTTCAGAGAAAATTTACAAGGATGTTGCCAGGGTTGGAGGGTTTGAGCTATGGGGAGAAGCTGAATAGGCTGGAACTATTTTCCCTGCAGTGTCGGAGGCTGAGAGGTGACTTTTTAGAGGTTTATAAAAAAAATGAGGGACACGGATAGGGTAAAAAGGCAAGGTCTTTCCCTGGGGTGGGGGAGTCCAAAACTAGAGGGCATAGTTTAAGGTGAGAACGGAAAGATATAAAAGGGACCTAAGGGGCAACCAATTCATGTGGAAGGAATGAGCTGCCAGAAGAAGTGGTGGAGGCTGGTACGATTACAACATTTAAGAGGCATTTGGATGGATATATGGATAGGAAGGGTATAGAGGGATATGGGCCAATTGCTGGCAAATGGGACTATATTTATATAGGATATCTGGTTGGCATGGACAAGTTGGACCAAAGAGTCTGTTTCCATGCAGTATATCTCTATGACTCAATAATCCAAATCAATGTTTAATAGATCATATCATAGATCATAGAATCCCTACAATGTGGAAACAGGCCCTTCGGCCCAACAAGTCCACACTGACCCACAGAGCATCCCACCCAGACCCATTACCCTATAAACCCACCTAATCTACACATCCCTGAACACTATGGGCAACTTAGCATGGCCAATTCACCCAGCCTGCACATCTTTGGCCTGTGGGAGGAAACCGGAGCACCTGGAGGAAACCCACGGAGACCTGGGGAGAATGTGCAAACTCCACACAGACAGTCACCCAAGGGTGGAATCAAACACGGGTCCCTGGCGCTGTGAGGCAGCAGTGCTAACCACTGAGCCACCGTGCCACCCCCATGCAGGTAAAACTCAAAGTTCTTGCTTTTGGACTCTGTGCCTCTATTCAGGATCCCATAATGTTTTCTTACTGTTGTTATGACTAAGAGAGGAGTGGATTTGGTTGCCTTTAAGCACCTCAGTTGGCTGCAACAAACATTGTTAATTCTTTTTCCTAAACAGCTATATCACACTTCAATTAAAACATAACTCAAGTCCAAAATTAAAGAATCCATTACAAGGTTTACTTGAAGGAAAGAAACAGGACTTCTGTTACTTATTATGCCCAGGAAAATAATAAAATGTAACAAGCATACACAAATACAGATATAAAGTTTAAAAAGAGGGAAGTGTGTAGTACAAAAAGGAATATCAAGAATCGGCAGAATATAAAGTTGTTAAGAGTCCTTGTGGCATTAAACTTTAACCTGATTCCACACTTTAATTGGTGTCCTATATCCTCAGTAGCAGCAAAATTTATACATATACTTGAAATCTTGGTGAACGGATTTTTTTTTGGCATTTTGCCTTATCACCAGGTGTTATTTTCAAGAGGCTGAGGGAGACAAGATAAGAGAGAGAGAGAGAGGGAGACTTCCAGTTCTGTTGCATTTTACTGCTTGCTTGAAATACAGTTCACTTTGTTCATTCCCTTGTGTGGTTTCATTGCTTTCCCATGCTGGATAATCTGTAAATGTCTTTCACCCAATATGTGAAATTTCTAGAAAGATGTAAATCAACCTGCAGACCCCAGACCTGCATTTCAGTGTCTTTTTGTAATAATGTTATTTTCAACTGAAATTAATTCTTTTTTACTGATGGTTTTAAGAGCTTGGCTCAACCTGACCATGTGATCACTGAAGCCATCACAAAACAGTGTTTTGCCTTTTTTTAAAACCAGTTTTGACTATGAAACATCCGAGGTGTCAAAATTGGATGATGGAAGTTGAAATTTGTTAGTCACTTTATACCACTATCATCACAGTCTGCACTAGTTCAATTAACTGTGCATATATGCTCAGAGGTTCCTTTGTCCCTGCAGACTCTTTAGAATTGTATATTTTATTTTATTTTACATCACCTTTCCTTGTCGTTTCTCCCAAAATAGGTCACTTCACATTTCTCTTCATTAAATTTTATCTGCCGCCTATCAGCGCATTCTCTGAGCATGTCTGCATAGTCTTGAAATCTGTCACTATCTTACAGATCATTTGCAAGTCATGTGTCATCTTCAAGTTTTAAAATTATGCTCTATGAACCCACATCTGGATCATTAATAGAGATCAAAAACAAGCAGTGACCCTGTTACTAACCTTTGGAGAAATCCATTAGAAACCATCATCCACCCTGCCACAACTTAACTGGAAAGTCTGTGCTGACAATCATACCCCACTGTTTCACAAACCATTACAGAATGTAAATATGTATACAATCTCAATGAGACAGCCAAAGTAACCAGTTTTCCTCACTGACCACTATTCAGGACAAAAGAAAATCACAACAGGTTTTGTCAGTAACAGAAAAAAAAACAATTTATTTAATACACAGCTTTAACAAAAGCAAAGATTTCCACTCTCAAAACATAAACATACACTCAAACACAAACGAGACAGACAAAAGACAAATTATTTAAGAGCTATGCCCTGGATAGAAAAAGAATATTGACAGAGTAAAGGAAATTTCATAGATTAAAAGTCCAGACCATAAGGTGGAAAGTTATTTTCTCACAGTTCTTTCACTTTTAGCAATGGTGACACACTGTTGTGTACATGGTGATTGTTGTTGTTCAATTCAACAGTTGATCAGAGGAACTTAGGCCAATTTAGGCCCTTTCTTGTTTTACAATTCTTCCTTGTAAGTTTTCTTAGTTTTTCTACCTTTTCCCCACATGGAAACAGAGAGAGGGAGAAAGAGAGATAGAGAAAGAGAGAGAAAGAGAGAGATAGATGTTTTCTCTCTACAGGCTCTGTATGTTTCTTCTGCTTGATACTTAGAATATTTTAACACTCTGCAGCTCAACCAATCAGGGCTGTTGTTAGGCAGAATCCTTAATTTGAAAGATTCTCAATACTGCTAGTCTCAAATTCTCCTTCCTGCTGCCTCTAAAAGTATCATTGCATTGCACAACTCAACAAGTACATGCAACACATGCTGACCAGATATTCTAATATATGTACCACCCTCTGTATGAGAAGTTGCTCCTCAGGTTCCTTTTAAATCTTTCGCCTCTCACCTTAAACGAATACCCTCTAGTTTTGGACTCCCGTACCCTGGGAAAACGACTTTGGCTATTCACCCTACTCATGCCCCTCATGATTTTATAAACCTCTTTATCTTATTCACTTCTTATCTATTTCATGGTACAATAGATGCATTGTTATATCATGGAACTGTTGCTTACACTGGCAATCAACTTTTCACCTTTTACTTGGAATAATATCCTATTTACAGGTTTGAGTATTTATACTCAGAGCTACTTCTATGAGTCAAAAATTTCTTCCTAGCTC